TCTCCCTCTTTTCTCTTGTGCACGCAAGGTGCTCGCTGAATTGCTTGTAAAGCTTCCCCTTTTCGCGAGACGTCGGGACTTGTCCGTCGCTCGTTCTTTCGAACTAATCAACTTTCTCTTTTACAGGTCCTTCGGGACCTGCGAGAGGTTGCAAGTGGGCTGATCTTTGCGGAGCAATATCGCAAGGGCGAAGCACGACTTAGGCAACGCAAGCTAAGTTCGCGTCTTTGCCGTAAGGGAGCCTCGCGACTTAGGCAACGCCAGCTAAGTTCGCGTCTTGGCCGCAAGGGTGCCTCACGCCTTAGGCAATTCCAGCTAAGGCCGTGACAGTACGTTGCAAGCAGCGGCAGCAACGGAAGCTCCAGAGGGCGTCCGTTGATAGCAAAGGAACCTGTGGTCCTCTCCCTCGACAGTGGAAGGAAGCAACAACAGAAGGAGGCTATGGGGGTCGTTGGACTCGTCCGTCGACAATAGAGGAAGGCTCGGCCCATTGCGCTTGTGGCAAAAGCAACAACAGAAAGCGTTGGCGACGGAGGCAGAAGCAACGCTAGGGTTCCTCAGGGTCGCGTTGGCGTGAAGCGTGGCTTTTGAGGTAACAAACTATGAACCAACCCAGCCTTAAATCGGTTTAGTTCGCGTAATTAAATTGGGCGCTCGCCCGAAGTGCCCAGCGCCTGCGTTCAGGTGAGCGCCCAAGCGGCGCCTCATTGAAGCGCGCCGCCTGGTGCACACCCGAGGCACTCAGGCCTCGCCTTGCCTCGTCTCGCGTCTCGCCTCGCTTGAGCGCTTAGGCGAGCACCCGAGCGCCTATTTAAATCACTGCTTCATAGGAAAATTTCATATGTATCCAACAAGATACCTTAATTCCACATTAACCCCTTCAAAAAGGAGAATACCATACATATCATCTAAATGAAAAAATGTCACAAGAAATATGTTTCTAAAAGCAACTGTTTTATGAAGACAGTGAAGACACCATGTAATGGAATCTGGACATGAAACATATGTAATTCAAATACAAAAATAATGCTCAATTAAGCTTAAATAAGATATAATGAAGACAAAATTATAAAAATGTAAACATGTGCTAAGTGCAAATTAGAAATTTAGGATGCTGATTGCCTTTCCAAGATTGCATTCGCAACACATACAGCTGCAAAAATTGCAATTCAGAATGCTGATTGCAGATATGCTTCTCAAGATTCGCAATGTCATAGATATCCCTCCAAAATGCAAAATTATAGGGATTGCCTTTTCAAGGGTATATATAAACATTTTGAGATGGCAGGGATAACCACACAGTTGTTCCAGCTTTGAAAAAGAATAACAAGATATAAAACAAACAAAATAAAAAATGAAAGGATCTTGCTACAAAATAAGGCCAAATGTCTCTCAATCTTAAAATGGTTTCCCTTTTTTTTTCTTCTTGAAAATATGTACTAAACAAGAAAAAGCCAAGATCAGTTGACTTTGGGATCTCAAGTAACCAACCATACAAAAGTCATCACCAAGATTTGAATGTTAGGGTTTACCATATTCGACTCAAGGGTCCTCTTCACAATGCACAATGCATCGTGTAAAGCCCGATCCATCTCATCAAGCATATAGTCGTTAGCACCTCTAAGAATCAATGAGACCTGATGGAGAAAACGTTAGGTGTTAATGCACAGAAACCAGTTAGTCCAAGGATTCAAGGGAGCACGCTTGAAGTTTTTAAAATTGGCAAGAAGAAACCACTGACCGCACTAGAATTCTTTGTGCCCTTGATCAAAATTACATCATCATCAGCAATGCGCTCCTCTATAACTTCATCAGCATGTCCAAGAAGTGACAAATCAAATGTTTCTTCTCCCTCCATGTCAGCAAACGTGGTCACCTTCAAGGAGCCAAAATCAGGACTAATTAACACAACCTTAAGTTTTCTACAAATCCAAGTGATAGATGAACATGTGATGATTTTGTACAAAAACAAACAATACATAAAGCATGCAGGGCCATGTGCATGCCTGAGTGAGATCCCAGAAATATTACTAAGCATTCTCTTGTTCAAGCATAGACATAAAACACAGACACATTAGCTCAGCTAGAAATTGCCTCAAACAAGTTCCACTAAGAGTCGGATATGATCTGTTACTCACATGGTAAGGCACATCAAGCTACCTATTCGAGGACATCAACAAACATCATTGTAAGAATACCAAAATGGAGTGGCTTGAGGGTCCATAATATCTAGCAGAATGTTGTACAAACAAATATGACAAAGCAAGGAATACTAGAGCAATTAACTCATGACAGCTAGATTAGCTGTTTAATCATCCATGAACAAAATAAAATCGTACCTTGCATTTTTCTCATTCGCCATTTCTAAGATGAATAAAATTACTGAAAACACTTCAAAATTCAATTTCAGTAAAGTGTAACAAATTTTCAAAAAATATTTGCTCAATCACTCAGGTAAACATTTAGAAGCCACTCAAATCTGGGCTGTAAGAATTAGTTGAACCAGCACTACTGAAAAAATATTGGTGGTAAGATGTTTGGTGCTTGAAATGCTGGTGCTCAAAGTTCTGGTGAATAATGTTTCTTGTCTATTCTCCGAGATATCAAATACTAAATAATTGAAACGACAGCCAGAAAGCATTTGAATAGATATCATGAGAAAACCAGTTGTCTTCATTGATGTATCTCAAATGTGTGCCAAACAGGTTATGGGTCTCTAATGTAGTGCATTCTCATCTAAATTCTTAAACATGACAGTTTTGGACATGCAAAGCACAGAAATTTAGATATTAAAAAAATGCAAAGTACAGACAGGAAATGTTATGGTTTGGCAATGCACACATGACATGTCACACCATCCACTTAATAATCTTTGATGGTATATTACACCCAGGTAACATGTCATTAAGAACATATTTGAGAAGAATAACAAAAATCACTTCCATTTTCAAGGAAAAAAGATATGAACATAAAAATTGATTTGGATTTTGGGGAATAGATTGCCAGCAATAATAGATAAACAACTATATGTAAGGAATAAACCAGGTAGACCCAACAATTACAATCTAAAAACAGAAATAGATACAAAATCTAATGATGTAAATAGTGAACAGCATGTGCCCAGACCATTTGGAAGTGTAGAAGCAAGAAGGAACTAGTAAGGTAACGGATTTTATTATTAGGAATCGATATTAAAACAACAAAAAATTAATCATCATTTGGATACACGTGTTTGAAAATAACACGTGCATATGCATTAGAGAACCTCAAGCTAAAAATATATATATAAGCATAAATAGTAAACATGCCCAGGAAGATCACAGCTGCAATAATCCAGGTCATACCACAGTTGCCCCAGTTGCTTTTGCAACATGTCGCAAGTCGTCCTTGCGAACACGCCTCACAGCAATAGCTCCAGACTCAACAAAGTACTGAAAATAGCATTAAAGCAAAATGGTTCAGAATTTAAACTGGAAATACCAGAGAGAACTAATGTCTCTGCATATGAATTTTCTTAAACAAACTGTCAAAAGCTTCGAAATATAAAGAATAGCATCATACATATGCAAGGAGAAAAGTGAATCACAGTTCAAGCACATCAAAAATCAGAATCCAGAGAGATGACATTGACTTAATTAAGCAGATCCATGGATACCAATTGTGAGTACAGGAAAGACAAACAAGAACTTCAGCGAATAAGCAGAAAAACTCATTAAATAGATTAGCCAGGAATGAGATAACCAAAGGCAGTTTTACGAAAAATGGGAAAATGGCCATAAATATTTGATATAAGAAACTATGAATTCTTAATGACAACTCATTAAAGCTGGTGAAGAATATAAGCACATCAAAACAAAGCTACATATATCAATTGCTAGCAGTGATCCACCAACATAGGCATTATTGATCTTTTTTGAAACATTAGTCCAGTATGATATCATGAGACTTTAACTACATTAAATGGATTTTTACAACACCACCACAAACATCTTCAATGTTTATGCATAATTTACACAAAAAGAAGATATGGCTAATTCTAAAGAAAAATTGCAAGCATAAATGGTGAACACAATACAAGACAAACAAAAGATTAAACTTAACTAAACATGAGAAATGTAAGTTAAGAAGACATGCCTTTAGCGACATATCATCGATTCCCTTGGTTGTTAGTACAACATTAGCTCCAGCTTTTAGAAGCTTCTGGATGCGCTCCTTAGTTATGTCAGCTTCCCTGGAAAAAGTTCAAGATGAAACTTACGATGACCTCAAAAAAAGAGCAAAGTAGTGCACATACAGGATCCCCACTGTGGTGCCTACCAAATTATCTAAGATGTTATCCAAAATATTATGCATACTAGTAATTTGACGGATACAACCACTTGGAGAAACAAAATACAAGGCAGAAAACTTAAGCAGAAACAAGAGCATTGTCAGTAGAGGCTTGAAGTACTGGAAAAGAAATGGAAAAAGATTTACTTAGCCAGAATAACCTAAGTTTCCATAATTGCAACAACTTCTATACCCCATATATTGCAACTGAAAATTGATGCAACTCATGTAAGTATGATATTATATTCAGGCCAAGCAAAAGTCAAAATGAAAATAAAATTTGTCTAGAAGTTTAAGATTTGCATAGATCTACTTAGTAAAAGCTCCTTTATATAAGTTTGTCTTGATTAACACGTTGAACTTACTAAACATGTTCAATAAAAATCCACTAAAGAATTACCTTTCACGAATTTTTTCAAGTTCTCTTGGGTCTGTGACCAAGACTTGAACACCCATCTGCATTTTTGTCTTTTGAAGGTTAAAATCAAGACAAGCAATTCTTGCAGGTGCAACCCTGATAGGCATCCCTTGAGCTGCACGGCCTGTATTTAAAGCATATCCATTCAGCAAGTAGCTATCTTTGGCACTTTTTCCATGAGCTTTCAAAATGTTTATGCTCTACAAATGAAACAGACAAAAGTATAAAATATATGTGCAAAAATAAAATTATAAACTGAAGGAAACAAGCCAACATAGAAATAGATCAAAAACTTTGTGTAATGTCTAGAGTCTCACTGAAATGCAGCTACTTTTTCAAAATAAATCACTCAGGATAATATCAAAGTACAATTCAAGTTTAGTGAAACTTAAATCTCCTTCGAATTCATCCATGCATCCAAAATTTTTTTTAATAAGAACTAACTGAATCAGAGAGATCCAACAATGTACTCTTGTGTATCAGTTAATCCTAGTCCAAATGGACAATGGGAATAAATTTGGAAATCACTTGTGCAACAAGGAAGGATCCAACTAGACACTAACCTTTACTGGGTACTTAACTTCTCCTCTTGCATTTGTAGTCTTCACTGCTTGAACTGCATCCACAACCTAAATAACAAAGTCAAACTCATATATCAAATAGTAGTGGAGTTACATATGAAAAAGTTGAAGGAGTCGATTTTGGTGTGATCAATTCCACAAGTATACTGATTTAGCACATATCATATGGATTCACAGCACTTTAAAAATGAGGATACTTTGATAGGTAAAAATTAGCAAGCCAGGAGAATAACAAAAGCTATTAGTATGAACATATATAATCTCATAATTATTTCTATGGTAAACTCTGTTATGTTTTTTAATTTCATGATAGAGCATCTTATGGCAATGGGCTATCACTGGCTCTATGCTGAAAACCACAACATTGATAGGAACTCGATACAATCTGAACCTACATGTTGATCAAGGTCTGCTTAATATGATACAATTAATGCAGTCCACTATTTAAATAAAAACTTCGAGAAAAATACTTATACACAAAAACAAGTAAAGATTTAGATTGCAATTAATGAACAATTCACAAATAACTTATTTTTATAGATGGAAAAAAAGTTCTTTAGTTACAAAGGAGCCACCGTTTTAATATCCTTTAATATCCAATCTTTTAATATCCTTCTACCCAAGGTTCTAAATTTCGAATGATACTACCCGTAACGATGGTACGTACCGGTCCGCCAGCAGACCGATACACCAACCAGCCGCTAATAGACGGAACGCTTGGTATAGCCCCGTATTATACGATACGAGGTTGTATTGGGCAATATCAACCTGGCTGCAGTGAGGGAAGAAGAAAGTGATAGCATTCGAAGAAGTGGGAGAAGAAGAGGGAGAATTGGGAGAACCTCAAAGTTCTCAACGTGTCCCGATCCAACACCGCCCTCCCTCGGCGATCCTGATCCAAGAGGTAACGACGAGGCGACGTCTAGAGCAACGAAAGAGGCGGTCTCTTTCGTCGCCTCGTTTGTGATTCTGCGGCTTCTTCTTCGCCGAAGGCCGAAGACGTCTACGACCTTCGAAGTCTTTGTCGTCTTCTTCACCGAACGCCGCAGATGAGGAGATGAAGGAGACCACGTTCTTCTCCTCGTCCGAGGCGACGAGGAGAAGAGGAGGCAACGTCACTAAGGTAGCGTACACCTCCTTTTTAGATTTTTTTATATTTATTTTTTATATTTTTATATATTATATTATTTATTTATTTAGATATACCATTCGGTATGCCCTGGCGTACCGCTCAGTACTCCCGTACCATACCGTACCGAGCAAAACTCGATACACTATGGAACGAAATTTCAATCCTTGTTTATATCTCTTCTCGCACCACCAATACTATTATTTCATCTCTTCTAATGATAATAACTATTAAGTCTAACTCCAGGTACATGTTCATAACATCCTGGACAATTCTCCTTTACTTTATCATAAATCAAACTTATGCCTAATTATTCACAAATAAAATGTTTTTCTCAACTTTAGTGGTAAATCTATGCATCTATCTCAGTATTTTCATTTCAACATCATAAACATTTTATACATATTAATTCTTAAGCGTCCAACACTCAGATCTATAAAGCATAGTCGAATGCTTTATAAAATCTTATTTTAGTCTAATAGACATGCAGTGATCACACAAAACTCTTGATGTCACTTTGCACCTTAAACACATGTTTATTCTGTGAGCAATATCCTTATCAATTCTCTATTTTGTTGTATAATTGATCCAAGACATCGAACTCAAGTACATGTTCAAATCTTCTTTTTATATTACTAAAATTGCATCTCATATTTTAATCTTAATTCTACCTTAATTAAAATCTTTAGTATCTAAGGTTTGTGACAACTCAAGTTTAGAATTAAGTCCATTTACCCTCAATGATTTAAATAATATCAACAAACAAAATATAAGATGTAGGTCTATCTTATATATAAATAATAAGTCAGAACTATCAGATCCTTATCCAAATAGGCTAATTCTAAACTGGATTAGTCAATTCTGTGAACTATGATATAAAGAAGAGAAGAAATACTTGCATATCACCTTTACTGATTAGAAACAGCATGACATGGAGTTTAAACAAGGGCACTTGATGGATAAACATTTTCTAATTGTTGTGATGATCATAGAAAAGAACGAAATTTTCTGATTGTTGTGACTAAGGGCACTTGATGGAATAACATTAGTGTTAGAACAAGGGCAAAACCAAGGATTATCATTGATCTTCACCTTTTTCCACTCGTTATGAATGTACTTGCTTGGCATATTTAAGTTGAACTCCATGTGGTTATTCTTATGATGTTATTGTTTCTTGATGACAATTAATTTTGAGGTAAAATCTAACAATGAGCCATACGAATTTTAGAAATTAAGGATTTCAAAACATAAGTAACCAATATAGGCATATTAAAATCATGTCAAGCTTACCAAGTTAGCGAAGAAATCACTATCAGTTGCAATTAATTTTGACGACATGCTTGTCTTTGCACAGTTTACAAGTGAATCTTTTCCAAGTTTTTCAACCTGAGGAGACAAATAGTTTTGCAGGTAAAGGAAATTGATAATTGAAACAATCGGGTTATTGGTAATATCAATAAATGGATTTTAGTGCGTACTTTTGTAGCAAGTTTTTCTTCGACATATTTGCAAGCTTCTCTCATTGCAAGCTGCCAGCAGATAGTAAGAAATATAAATAGTTACGAACTACTTGAATTGAAATGAAAGCTAAAAATTACTCCAGACAAGCTGAATATGAATAACTGTTCATGTTACCCTGTAGCCACTAATTATAGAAGTTGGATGAATCTTGTTTCTCACAAGATCATTTGCTCTCTGCAACAAAAGAATATAATAGAGAGTTACTAACAGATGGCACCCCCTGATTCACAACACAACATAAATGCATGATGAACTCAACAATCACAGTTTACATGACACCTTAAGTAACTCAGCAGCCAGGATAACCACTGATGTTGTTCCATCTCCAACTTCTCGATCTTGAAGTTCAGCAAGTTCAACAAGAACCTTAAATCATCAAAACAGGAATTATAACAAGAATGTAAATCAGCAAAACTTAAAGATCTAGGAGATACAACCAAGTTCATGTATGCTACCTTGGCAGCCGGATGCTCAACTTCTAACATCTTTAGTATTGTTGCACCATCATTGGTAATTGTGACATCACCAATGTCATCAACCAGCATCTAGTAATTCACCATCCAATGCAAATTTTAATATTAAATCAACCTCTAAAATGCAGATCATGCTAATTGCATACTAGACCAGATAAGAAGCATTCATTAAAACAAAGCAAAATATATATGCCTAATTAGACTTGATGAACCTGAACCACTGCCCAAAATGTTTAATCCAATCTAATTGTAGTAGACTAATCTAGTCCTCATAAACTGATTCAAATGTCCACCCACATAGGATGTGGAACTAAACCAAGGGTTACAATCTCCCTACTTAGGCATGGGATCCTTGTCAAGGATGAACATAATTCAGACTCTAGCATAACGAAAGGCCTAGCCTAGTGATAAATCCACACCTTGATGTGCCTCTCACCGCATCCATAGGTATCCTTTCAGTTGGGCCAATCACCACAAATTTTGTCATGACCCGAACCAGGATAATTAACTCATTAACTTGATGAGCCCAAACCAATGCCCAAAATACTAAGGGTCAAATTAATAGTAGTAAAAGCATCTAGTCTTTAGAAATCAACTCAAATCTCCTCCCACATCCAATGTGAGGCTTTAGTATAGGTGTTACAGTGCAAATATATCTTTTATTCATTGCTAACTTCAGGTGCTTGAATTTATGCGAAATAACATCAATAATAATTAATTAATGTTCTCAAGATCTGTATATTAAATTCAAAGAGAATCACACCTTTTTAGGAAAGTACTTGGATGAGATAAATATGATGATCAACTTGGAGACACTTTAGTTCTATGTACAGTCGTCACCTTATATATTCTCACTCATATCATATTGGTTAATCAAAACTCAAGTAAAAAATGTCAATAACTATATTAAACCATGTGGCATTTGATTATAACGATAGCTTCTCCACTAGCTTTATTCCTAGTCTTTTTGAGATGTTCTCATTCATTAATTTTACCTTTCCATGATGATGAAGGCACTTATGTCTTAATTCATATGTCTTAATGCAATGTTTCTATTGCAATGTCCTTTAAGTTCTTCATTTGGTTGCCCAAGGAGCAGTAGTTCATAAGTTATCTTCTCTGTTCCTCATCATAAGCTTAAAAAAAAAACAGTAAACATATATAAATGAAAAGACAACTTCAAGTCATATTATAGTCTCTCAGATTCAGCAGATGTGCCTCAACAATTTATCCAAGAGAAAAAAGAAAAAACAACAATAATTGAGGATGCAGAGAGAAGGAAAAAAGAGAGAGAAAACCGCAATCCAACTTTGAGTGCTTGTATAGGTGTACAGTCTGCAACATAATTGATCTTAACCATTTAATTACTGATCCAAATTGCAACTTGGACCATAAAGTAAGATCGAAGATGTTCCATACTGTTATTTGTTATGGCAAAATTGCTTAGAACACAAAGGTTATTACTTTTATAAAAGGCTCTATAAATCACATACTTTAATATACACTCGAGCCAATGTTCCTCTGTTGATTTTGTGTTACATGATGATCTTTTTAGACAGAAAGGTTGATCGTAAACTCAAAACCATCCTCAGCAAGCTTTAGGAGCCGTAAGCATCATGCCAGTAAAACAGCAGAATATGCTAACTACCAACCAAGAAGAACAGAAAAACGATGACAGTGAGATCCGAAATTGCATTCACCTTATCGAGACCAACTGGTCCGAGGGACGATTTCACAATGTTAGCAACCGCTTGGCACGCCACCACTGCCCACAACAACGCAAGGCAGCAGGAAACCGGGTTAACTTTAGCATATCCGAGAGATCAGATATGGATGGAGAGGGAAAAGGAACGAACCATTCTGGGTGCGGACGTCTTGGCCAGACTGCCGTTCTCCCAAGATGTCGGGCGTCTGAGCAACGATCGCCATTGCGAACCTCGGGAGGGAGCGGAGGGGAGGCGACGGTTAAACCCTAGATTTGGCCTCCTATCAACGAGCGGAGAGAGATCGAGCGAAGGAGAAGAGCGCGAATCCGGAGAGTTCGATAGGCAGCAGCTCACTGGTGCTTACGCTGGCCGTGGGTGGGTTCGGGCTCTTAAATCCTAGGGTTGGACTCTAAAAAAAAAGACCGAAGAGAAAAAGGCCTATTAGAGAAATTAAAGATCCGTTATATACTTCATTTGTAACACCAGACGAAATATAAAAATCCCCGTTAAGGAACAAAACGTTTTGCCATCCACTCCCGTTACGAACGGTCGCATATAGCGTTATTTAGTAAAGAAGAAATCCCGTTACGAAGAGCCCTTTGTGACGATTTTGCAGTGAAAAATCATTAGAATTACAGATAGAAATTTAGTCAGGTCAAATTGCATCCAATAAAATTTGGGATGAGTTATTATTGAGATAAAATAAATATATGTCCGCTTCTAACATTCAGGACTATATACGCAAGACCAATCGATGGATGGCATCAACGTGATGGACTAAAATAAAAACTCCTTCAATATGAAGGGTAAAAATCACGAGTCAAACTAGAGATAATCTCACCCACGCAAATTAGAGATAATAATAATGAATATATAAATCTTAATATCTTGCTCAAAACCTTAGTAATAATCGCAAGAGAATAACTAAGATACAAGAATAACGTAACTGTACTCAATATTTTAAATCTTTCCTAATTCTCCTCAAGTAATCACAGTAAAAATCTAATGTAGATTTGATCTAACCTGATATGAGAACACTACTAGATGATTGAGAATAATCTCTCTGCATTGTCCTTGTTTTTTTTCCTTTCTTTCTCTTTAGATTTTTATCAAGCCGGCTGAGTCTGTGGGCTGCCAGCCCAACATAGCATAATAGCTTTTTAACTCTTCTTTGAGCTCAGTAGCTTTTACAGAAATGGCGAAGCGCGCCTGGGTGACGACCTCCATCGCTACTCTCCTTTTCGTGTTTGCTGGCGTCCACTCCGCCATAAGTGGGTGGATGGGGTGCAGATCCTGCTTAGACAAGGATCAGGTGATGCTGCAGTATAGCACTTCTTGGAGCTACTAAAAACTCAGCTGGTGCACCTGAAACAAAAAATAGAAGTCAGCTAGCTACATATGAACTCAAAAGTCAACCATAAACTCTCATGGATCATCATGTAGTTTCAAGATAAAGATTGCAAAGACTAAAGGAAGTATGAATCTATTAAACTTTACAGATAAAAGGGGAAGAATTATTTACAATATATTGGTTTATTATTATACTTTATTTTTAATGGTTGTACAATAGAATTAACTTCTCAAGTCCAACTAAAAGAACTGCTCAACTTTAAACGAGTCAATTATCTTGATTAGATTTTGACTAAGCCGGTAAGATCTTAAACTCGTATTTGGATCATCATCATCATCATATATCAATTATCTCAGACTTTACAGAACTTAGAGGGTTAGTCAACCTTTTAGCGATTAGATAACATATTTAGTTGAAGTTTAAGGTTGGGTTATCTCTAATATTAAAAGCTTGTTATCAACATTAGCCTTCTTTATATATTTCAAAATTAGCTTCATACATATTAAAGATCAACATTGCACAAGAACAAAAGATAGATTATTGCAATTGTGCATTCAACATTTGATCATCCCCTTACATGATGCTTCCTCATTACAAGTTGAATCATGTTCAGGCTTTCGATGCCAAGACCATACGATGATGCCGAAGTAAATCTGCTTCCAAGCCATATGTCGTACCTTCTCAATGGAAGAGAATCCAAGAGAAATATGATAGAAATTAAGCGAAGAAGATAGAAAGATAGAAATTATAGAAGAAACTATGAAATGTATAAGATATAATTGTCTAATACATTTTGATAGTGAGTTCTTGACAGCCATTTATACACATTCAGTAGGGAGGTTATACACATTCAGCATGGAGGATTTTTCTCAACTGCTGAGAGATTTCCTCAATTGCCTTGAGGAAATCTTATCTGCTTCTCAACTGCTGAGAGATTTCCTCAACTGCCTTGAGGAAATCTTATCTGCTTATCATGCCCCCGCAAGATTGAGCTTCCATC